CCTCATGTGCTTAAAGAGCTTTGCTGAATCAGAACCTCCAAAATGCAGAGATGATTTAGTATTCTGGCATTTGTAGATTGAGCTCTTTTTGCACACCTCATACTAGATGTCCTAGAAACAGAAGAAAGTTCTGCCATGCATTTCTTAGGGAAATGGCATCCAGCTCTACCTTTTTACCTTAGCAAACCACCACTAGAGCATCTAAAAATAACATTCAAAAATAGTAATCTAATGTAATTAAGCTCATGTTACTGGCTCCCAAGTTAATGAGACGATGAACAATTAATGCTCAAGGCAATAAGAATTTTGCACGCACTTGGGCATAGGCTGCATCTTCTTCAAAAGTTAATGTATATGCTATATGTTTAAACAAACTATTCCTTCATAATGTGTTTCCCCCATCCAAGGTCTGCTGCTAACATAGAGACATTGGTGTTTGGAATAGATGAGGCAGGTATGTGTAAAAACATACAGACCCTTGTTAGGACTTTATTCCCTGTAGTGATTGTTAATTAGGTTCCAATCCCACAATTGACTCCACTTAGTAAAAACTCCAGTGGACATAAGTGGAGCTCCAGGAGGCCCCAGGTATCTGCCCATCCAGAGCAGATTGCAGGATCAGAGCCTAAGCTCTTATGGGCAAAACCAGTCTTTGTCCTGTGCTTGTACAGCACCTTGCACAGTGGGGTACTGGTCCATGACTAGGGCTCTTAGATGCTACAGTGTTACGAATAATAAAATACCCCTGTGGAGCTAGTGATAATTGTATTTGAAGAGTTCACAATCTACCAATAGCCGGTAACATTTAGGTATTTTACTTATTTATTCTTGGTCCGTATTTCTCCTTTCTCAAACTCCTGTAATTAACAGTGTGAATGGGCAGGAGGACACAAAGCAGGGGCTATAGTACTTGTCTTTAGCCTGTAAACAATGTATGAGATTAGTGGCATAAGGTCACTCACACATTGGCCTGCTAAATTCCCCTAACTGAGAGAAGCAAATTATGAAATGTGCCCCATCCTTGGTCCCACAACGCCTGAAAAAATCAGCTGAACAACAGCACCAGAAAATTTTAGGTACTGATAATGTTCCTCTGTAGTTAAGCTTATATATGTAACTTGGGTAAACTACATATTTTATCCATTAAAGAGATATACATCTTATGTCAAAATATTTGACGTACAAATATTTATCATAACAGCCATCTGTAATTTAGCTTTTTGTTGATAATTTCTCATGATACAAAATATACACTAAATGCACATTGCAATAAGTACTGTTTCACATACAGTGTGTTCAAAATACATCGAGTTAGCCACCATGATTCAATCATTTTTTTTAAACGAGGGCTCCAATAAAATGTCTTTTTCAAAAGCTGTAAAAACTGAAATCCAAAACCCAAGCAGACAAATAAAAAAACTGCATAATATGCAAAATTACTTTGAGTTCCTCAGTAATATAGTTTCAGCAAAAGCATTAAATGTGTATATACTGTGTCAAACTATGCAATTATCAAAAATATTGTTTTAATGAATCATTCACTTGCCTATACATGCATATTGAATATATGTCTAAATATTAACAAGGGCTGTATTGTAGTATACAAACTAAAATACGCAAAATTTACAGACCAGAGATGATGCTAAAGAGAAAATGAAGCAGTAAATTGCAATATAATGTATAGATCTGGAAATAAGAGGATATTGTACAAGACAGTAATGTTGGCACCAATAAATTATTCACTTAAAAAGCAAAAAAATAAAAATAAAATAAAACTCCCCATCCCTGTTTTTTAAAAGAACTAGTTTTGAGGTTTTTGAGCATCCTATATGTGACAAAAGGTGACAATTTAAACACCAAAGAAATTACAGACTTCAAAGTGAAGATGTGAAGCCTCATATATCATGAACATTTTTTTAAAAAATAGGAAATTTATTTTAAATAAAAAATAAGACATTTTGCTTTACTGAATGGATTGTACTGGTAATAAACTTTAATGATTTAATACAAACTTGTAAATCACTTTCAGTGAGGGCCTTACAGTTTAGCACAGCTTTTATGAAAAATACTAAAGTACTGTCATAGCTTAACAATTTTAATGCTTGGAGATCATGAAAACTGGAACAAAATTCAAGTTTATATGGGAGATGGAGCAGTAAATACAGATCCATGCTCCATGGTTTTATAGATATTCTGTAGGGAGTTTTTGTTTGCTTTCCCCCAAAAAAATTATGTCTGACAAGCATTATACTATGGCACATGCAAATATTAATGGTAATACATCCCAGTACTACTCCCCAAAAAATACAACGTTCAGGTTGTGTGCTATAGTTTATGGAGATGGCATTTTCTTATCAAAAATTGCTTTTACAATTAGATACAATGAAAATTTTAAAGCATATTCTAGATTTATGAATGTAAATGTGATCTTTATCCCCTTTTAACTCTATACAGGGATTCATTGGTTTTCAAGTCAACAAATTATTCATTTTATGGGCAAAGATTCAGTTATAGGCAGCACAGCATCTTTATGTTTTAATCAATGGCAATATTACTTCATCCATTATATTTGTTGCTCTTTGTTGCAGGACAGGGATCAATATAAGTAAATAAATGTTGCTTCTGGGGGAGTTAGGCAGAAAACCCACCCTGAAAATAAACATCTGTTGTGAAACATCTGTATTAGCTGAAATGTTAAAATAATGGTGCTTGGTTTGACCAAGCTGCTGTGAAGAAATACATTGATGATAATTAAACCTATACAGCACAATAAAAAGTCATTTCACTTTGATAACCCTTGGGTACAATGAAACCTATTACTAAAATAAACAAATAATTGTTAAGCTTTACATTTAGACATTAAGGGTCAGATCCTCAGCCGGTGAAAATTGTCATAGCTCCACTGACTTTAATGAAGCCAAGACAAGTTACACCAAGTGAGGATCTGGCCCTATAATGTTTCCATTGATCTGATTTTACTGTAATACAGATGTATGAATAGACTGCAGCCCCACACAAATGTAAAACTTTCCCATTTAACCGCATCGCTATCATCATTAAAAAAGTGATCAGTGTAGCCTAAATATTCAGGGAGATAATGGATATAATCTCGGATATGAGAGACTGAACTGCAGTTCAGAAGTTGATGCAAAATAAATTTACATTTACTCATTTGGGTCATTTTTCAGATCATCTCTATTTTTTTTTTTACAATAAATCAAACTAAAATTAAAAAACCAGATGCAAGCATTAACCTACTTTAGAAGAGCATAAATGACATCTAAAACGGTGTTGGTCCAACTGTTTTATGAGCTAGATGGTTTGCAGTTTTCATACATCTAAAACATTCTATTTGTTTCCCTTGGCATTAGAAGCTTTGGGCAAATTTGGTGGCACTGACTTGACTTAACTCGTGATTTTCTCAGATATGTAGATCAGCTAGGTATTATAGAAACTATAACATGGATCCAACCAATAATGTCGAAGTCCAATGACCATGCACATTTTTCTTCGCAGAATTACTTCAATAAAAAGTTTTGTATTAGAATTCTCTTGATTTAAAACTATTTTTCTTAATTAACTGAAACTGGAAGATTGTGCGAGTGACTGTAATAAATCTATACATTATTTATTATATCTGGTAATGCCTTACTTCTGGTAAATTTCAGTAAATGTTGTAAATTACTAATTTGTTTTAAAGTTGATTACATATATTTGTGTTTGCTTTCATTGTTTAAAAGTGAAGCATAATGGCCTCGAAAATATTTGATATTTTCATGTGGAGCAAGCACATTCTTCTTTGCTTCCATTAAGAACTTGAAAAATTATAACGCTTTGTTTTAGAACTCATGTTTTTATTAGCAGAGGTAGAACCAACTAAAATTTAGTCAAGTATCAGAGGGGTAGCCGTGTTAGTCTCAATCTGTAAAAAGCAACAGAGGGTCCTGTGGCACCTTTGAGACTAACAGAAGTACTGGGAGCATAAGCTTTCGTGGGTAAGAACCTCACTTCTTCAGATGCAAGTCATCTTGCATCT